TATTTCTTTGATAAAGGAAAATTATACGACAACAAATATAAAATAATATTTAATTTATTTTTAGTTTTACAGTTATTAATTTACTCCATCAACAAAAGGTATATCTACAGCCCCACATCTGTGACACAGCTTCAGTTGTTTTGTTACTCAGTTCCGTCAATTGTTGTGCATGAGTTCAGCTCAAAGCTCAGCCCAGCAAATATTTGCACATTAAGCTTGAGCAACAATTTGGTTGCCAGTTTTGTTACTGTTTTGCTGTTGTTGCGAATGTTTTAAGCCCACTTCGAATGTTAATAGCTAATTGTTTGCTTAGATATGTTTGTCAAAGGAACTGAAGTCTTGAGATCTAAGTGCTGTCTATGCAAAAATCTAGCCTTACTGTACTTATTCGTACTTGATACGGGTTATTGCCCATATAAACAATAATACATCATATCTATATGTATACAACATACCAACAATTTATTACAATGAAGCCAAGTAAAGTGAAGTGATCTATAAATATAAACTATATATAAGGTATGGGGCTTTGACTCATGTGTAGATAGGTGTGTCTTGGATGAAGTTGATGCCACGAAGGCTGTTCAGATATTGGAACTTCCGCTATTTATCTGCTACGCAGAAATTGCTGCTCATCGCTGTCAAGTCATAAAATACACAGAAGGACTGTGTGTTATTGAAGTCAGCTGGGCTCGTCATGCTGTTCCACAAAGCTCTAGCTAAAATGGCGCTTCTACAATGACTCAGGCGTTGGGCGATCGGGCGAGCAGTGTTTCATGTCTAAAGGAACAAGCGTTAAGGAAATCAAATTGCATTTAGTTTACTTTAATTTATATTTTTATTGCCTCCAGGCAATACAGAAAACTCCTATTGGTTGAACTAAAACACAAATTCGCACGGTAAACAAATCAAATGAGCAATGCAATGCCAGCAGACTGGAATATGTAATTGATCATCATCTTGGGCACATTGTCATGCTCCATATTGAAGATGCAATACAATACAAAAAGCGATAAAACAGAAGAATCGCTCATTAAGCATAGTTTTCTATATAGGCATATCGCAGATTATAATAAACATAAGTGTGATCTATCTATTGACTACAATGATCGTCTCCTGCTCATATTGTACTGAGGAACATGCTTTGGTAGCAACCAGCCTTGTGAGCTACACAAACTTGTGAGACCAGCATTGAAGGGAGTACCTTATATGCCCATACGAAAAAGTGTTTGATCATAACCACTCGGACAGTGAGTATCTGTATGATGGGCAAGCCCAAAGACCTGATTGAGTACTCTCTAGATTCTAATCAATATATATATTTTACACACTCAGAATGTTTATCAAAGAATTTAAAATATATGTTTTTAATAAATAATCAAGAAATACAACATTAGTATATTAATAGCATAGTAAGTAATTTACAAAAAATTATCGGCGACAGGAAATAATACCTGAATTAATTGATGACTAATTATTATATGCATTAATCATATTAATTTTTTATTTCTTTATTTTTTTTAATTATAAAATAAAATTCTTGTTTAATCTTTATAATAAAATTTATTCAATACCGATTTTGATGCTTTATAATTAATTATAATATTTTTTCTAGATCTATTCTGCTCTTCCTAGAAGGCTTTCGTTGATCATTTAGTCTTGTCGACTAATTCGTTCGCATTTCTCAGAAAACTCAGTAGCTGATCTTTTGTGCTTGTACTTATAGCTTTGATCTCCATAGAATATTATTACATATGTATATTATTATATACATGATATTTAAACATTTAATTTATAAATGAATTATAAACAAAGTATACGTAAATGGGTTCAGTTCTAGGTTAATGTGTGGAGTCAATAACACGTGCTTCTGCCTCAATCATTATATTATACAAACAAGTTCGTTTTCTCTAATATACATCACTTTCGGTTCTCAAATACGGCCTCTTCGGAGAGGGGCACAGGAAATGCTTGTAGGGCCTGCGCCACTCCTCAACCGAGGTCAAGTCCGCTTGCCCCACCATATTATTCCACAATTGCTTGGCTAGCACAGCATGGCCCAGCTGACTATAGTGGATGCAATCGTTGGCAAAGAAATGCTTAAGCATGATGCCCTGCTCAGACCACAAGCTGCTGATGTTCCTCAGTATGCCATGGGTCACAATGGCAAAGTCGGCGCTACGGAACTCGGGCAGGGCGGCAATGGAGAGCTGCAGGTGAAGGAAACGTTTCGCTGCATCGTACAATGTCTTGTCATCGTAACGGTTGTAGCAGGAACAGAAATAGGGCATACGCTGGACACACTTGGCCGGAGCTCGAGAGAGCAGACTGAGCAGCTCATCGATGTCCGGATGAACGATAAAATTGATGAGCAATCGCGGCACATGCTCTTTGAGTATGCGGAACGTCTCGTGCAGCTGACGTGCGACAACCCGAAGGAAGTGCTCCGGACTGGGTGAATGGCACAACTCCGAGCAGAGATCATTGGCGCCCACCTGAATGCTGAGCAGCTTCCAGTGCGCCCGCAAGTTGACCCTGGGATCTCGGCGAAACCGTTCGATCAGCACAAGCGCCTGAAATGGCAAATCCTGAATGTTCAGCATTGGCTCAGCCAGATTGAACCGCGCCACATTCACATCGGCGCCCAGGCTGTGGCCCACGGCATAGCCATACAGTCGAGGATTATAGAGTTTCAGTATGTTGGGCAGCGTCAGAGCCGTGCGCCAGGTCTCGAAGCCGCCGCCCGTATAGGCATAGCCACGATACTCCACGTACGCATCGAGCTCCCCCAGGCCCAGAATGCCCGTGCCCGAGTTGGAGGAGTCGCCACACGTGGCCACAATATCAATGTCCCCGGGTCGCAGTTGCCTCACGTCCTTGGGTACCTCCGGCGATCGACCCCCGCTCAGATCACACGGAAATCGTTTGCTCTGCAACACCGGCAGCTGCATGCGACCAGCTTGAACATTTCTCGCCCTTATCCAATCGAATTTGGCGAGCACCGTCTGCTGCGACAAATTCCGCATTTGCAGCAGGATATCCCGCATGGCGGTGTCCAGTTCGGTGTAGTAGAGGCCCTCCTCCTGACTCGCCAAGCGAAAGTCAACGCGTTTCACTCCGTGACGTTGGAGCAGACGCGTCGAGTAATTCTCAATACCAGGTCGAGCTGAGCTGAGGTAGAAGAGCTTCAGCAGCAACAACAACCACAGCTTCAATGCAAACATTTTCCTTTTTGAATTCAACTTTGTTTATATATATATATTTTTTTTTTTTCAGAGCGGCACAACTGAAGCCGCGCAACTTCGGTAGATCATTGACTGCTTGCTACTAAAATGTTCTAAAAATGTTAAATTTTTCGACGCACTTAACAGGTTGGGGGCTTTTCGTTTTATAGCACTAGGGGTCTTGAGTTCTGGACCCGAGTTGAATGTGGCGACTGTGCGTGAGGTTGACGGCAATCCAGAACATTCATACAGGGTGTTCCCTATGAGAGGGTTTTTTTTATTTCCATTGAGGTAGGCATACGAGTAT